GTTTTTTGAACATTAAAGCATGTCAACATATTCTGTTACACCAAATACACAAAATAATGATCTTTAAAAAAGCATCACATGACCCCTTTAAAACCTCTGCATCCCTGTGATGTTGTGATTTGGTTCTAAACAGTTGATAAATTAATTTTCCTGTGAAAATGAAAAGGAAGAACAACTGCTCACTTGAGCTCAGATGACTCCTGAGTGTGTGTGTGCGTGCGTGCGTGTGTGTGCGTGCGTGTGTGTGTGTGTGTGAGAGAGACGTCTACTGTTTCAATATGAAGCTCATTATACTGACCACAGACACAATACAAACATTACTGACTTCATTTATGATTCATTTCTAACTTTGAGGAACTTGCTTCTGGAGAGTCACACACACACACACACACACACACACACACACACACACACTGTACCTGCACCGCCAGGAAGTTCTCCTCATCAGGCAGGATCCTGTATGTGTGAACATGTTTCTGAAACCTAGAGAGAAAGAGAGGGAAACAGAGAGCGATTTATCATGTGGAAGAAATGAAACCAGGTCAGCGGTTCCACACACACACACTCACACACACACACACTCTCTCTCTCACACACACAGACACACTCACACACACACACACTCACGTGCAAACACACACACACACACACACACACACACACACTCACACACTCACACACACACACTCACGTGCATACACACACATCTGATTTTCAATGCTGGGGTCAAATTTTCAATTTGTCTGCAGCATCTGAAACAAAAGCGTGTGTGTATGTGTGTGTGTCTGTGTGTGTGTGTTAACTACAAACCTGTCCATGTCAGTCAAACACTCAGCCTGTTCTGTACTGAAGCACACACACAAATACACATTCAGACACTCTCTCTCTCTCTCACACACACACACACACACACATACAATACAACACATACAATGTTTTTAATGATGTTATGATTTTGTTAACTAAAAATAAAACTTGTTTTGATAATTGCAATAAACCTAAAATAAAATAAAATATAAATATTAGATGAACAACTTCAAGTTTTTCAAGTTTAAGTTGAAGCAATAACATTTCTGGAAGTACTGGAAGTACAGTATATTAAAAACTAAAACTGAACTTACTGGAAAAAAATGTAAACCTAAATAGGCCTAGTAATATTTAAAAAGAACAAAAACTAATCAAAATGACAAAACCACATAACAAAATTACTCAAACTTTAACAAAAATAAACATGAAATCTGAAAATATAAAAAATAGCATTATTAATAATTCAAAATATGAATTCAACCTAGAATAGTATATAAATAACACTGCTGGAGACAAATTTGTCCTTAACGCATGGTTAAGGTAGACACACACATACACTCGTGTTGTTTTGACTAACAAATCCACAAGCGAGTGTGTGTGTGTGTGTGTGTGTTTCGTAGATCCAGAAATGCGTACAGAAATCTGAAAACCAAATCATTTGATAAGCAAACTGTGTGTGTGAGTTCTTCAAACCATGACAAAATCCAGCAGCACAATATCTAAAGCTGAGCTAACTATGCATGTTTGCAAATACATGATAAAAGCATCAATCTATCTGCCTGTGTGTGTGTGTGTGTGTGTGTGTGTACACACTTGAAACACACACTCACAAACACACTCACACGCACTCTCTCTCTCTCACACACACTCACACACTGTGCCTGCTGTGCGGCGTCTCTAAGTCATCATCAGTGTGTGCCAAGAGCTACGTCGCCATGACAACCACTACAGCGGCCCAGGGGCCCTAACAGACAACAGACATGTGTGTGTTTTTAAAGGTCAATATAATAAAAGAGAGAAACCTCCATAAACACTCATATCCACTGAGCCGCAGAGTGGAGTTAAAAATAAGGCAACTGGCTGCGTTTTGGAGTTTTCTCAACTTCAGAAGTCGGAGACTAATTTCTGAAATATAAACTGGTTGTTCACTCAAACTACTGTTTTAAGTTCACTGAAAGTTCCTCAGCGAGAACCCAGCTAACAGGGAATGTTCTCACAACTTTCACTAATGTTTTTGAAAAGTTATATAAATGTTAGGACAAAACGTTCTTAAAGTAATGTCTATGGACCGTTCTTATAACTTTATTAATATTTGATGAACGCTCTCATAAAGTTGAGAGAAAACGTTCTGAGATCAACATCCTTAAGGTGTTATTTTTACTTTAACGCTCTAAGAAACGTTTTTGTATCCTTTAAATAATGTTATAATCACAAGAAGAAAACGGGACATTTCACTTTTGAGCTACTCTTAATAAATGTAATTATTTATTTAATATCGCTGCACGGTTATTATAGTTAACTAAAAACTATATAATGAAACAAAAAACATGTTCATTATTATAAAATAATAACTAATAATAAAATAAACATTAAATTAAATAAAATAAAACATAAAAACTTAAACTTTATTTTTGTTAGTTGCCAAGACAACATTTCTCATTTTCATTTAAAGTACTCAAATATATATTTATTTATTATTAATAATTTTCATTATTATTATCTATATACACATATTAAAATAAACAAATAAATAAAATGTCAAAAACACACAAAATTAAAAAAAATATATTTATAAATTAAAATGAGCTGAAATGAAAAATAACCAGAAAATACAAAAATAAAATAAAATTCAAAATATTAACAAAATAATAATAGTATATTATAATACAATGATATTAAAATAACACTGTATCACTACTGCTGGCGTTTCATAAAAGCAATAAACCGCTGGTGTATTACAGTGATTTTACCACAATCACGAGATCTAAGATAATGATGCTGTTCTAGATGTTGTGCCACTTCACAGTAAAATCAGCGTGAAAAGCCTCAAGCAGCTTTAGTGCTATATTTATTTAGTGTTATTATTATTATTATTATTATTATTATTATTATCTATTGTTATTATTTTTATTATGCGTTAATAAACTTCAAATGAAACTAAAAACACTGAACGCTGAAACCCCGCTGAGATCTAAAGAACATGAAACCGCTCTGAATTGTTTATATTGTTGTCAAATGTAAACTATACTATCGCTCAGCTCTTATCTGCTAAATGCAACTGTAAGGCATGAAGATATTAAGATATTATAAACATTAACTGTAAAGCTGCTCTGAGTCAATGTGTATTTGCGAATACATTTGACTAGTGAATCACGAGTCCATACTTTCTCACAGATCAGCACAAAGACAGACGCTTCCCTTTTCTAGCTGCAGCAGCAGGAACACTGGTGTTTATAGACACACTGACAGATGAGATGAACAGACAGATACAAGACACACACACAGACACAGACACAGACTCACACTCACACTCACACTCACACTCACACTCACACTCACACTCACACTCACACTCACACACAGACACACACACAGACACACACACACTCACAGACACTCACAGACACTCACAGACACACACACACTCACAGACACTCACAGACACTCACAGACAC